TACTCTGTAAGCCTCTCCATATTGAACCTGTACCCCCTTGAAACCCGCCGGATAAGAGGTGACATCTTTCTATTGTACAATCTCCAATTCCGGCAGGGTCGATGACTTCTTTGCACGCGCTAGTGTGGACAACCTTGGGTTCAATTCAGTTCAGTTCAGTTTGCTCAGGACAGAAAATGGCCACGGGCAATCGAGTGTCTAGAATTCCTTCGGTGGTATGCGGTCAAGTTTGGCACCCACCACTGCAAAATGTAGTCCGTCCTTTCTGGCTGAAAAGAGGAAGGGAAAAATGCCTCATCTCACCATCAAGGCGAGAGATTGTTATACGTGAGCGTTCCTCTTCCTGACTACATCCCAATACATAGCACAGTGAAGACAAAAACATGCAACCTGAGTAACCCGCTTCTAATCCTCTCATTTTCTCAGGTCGCTAGCTTGTCGGACCTCCACTTGAGGAACAAGTTCACACTACCGTTCGTCCAGGGCAGTCTTAAATGCAGCACCGTCTGCAGTTCTACTAGCTAACCAGGAAGTCTGTTCCATATGTTTACTACCCTGTTGCTGAAGAATTATGACCGGGCTAATAATCGAGACCGGGCCCCTGACTAGCTTCATTTCATGCCCCTTTGTACGGGAATCTTGCGCTTACTGGAACAGAGTTTCTAGTCTAATACCAAAAAAACCTTGCATTATCCTAAAAACTTCTATCATATCTCCCCTGAGCCTTCTCTTTTCTAAAGAGAATAGTCCCAGGTCCTAAAGCCTTTGCTTGTATTCTTTGCCACACTGACCCTCAACCATTCTCGTTGCCAGCCGTTGAACCCGTTCTAAACAGGTGGAATCCTTTTTGAAGAAGGGTAACCATGCCTGGACACAATACTCTAGGTGGGGTCTTACTATGGCCTTGTACAGAGGTATGAATACCTCAGGTTTACGGCACGACAACGCTGACCTCAGTAAAAATAACTCACTCCTAGCTTTTTGTGTCTCCCTGGCACATTGATTCGACCACGGTCCGCGGTGACCAAGATTCCTAGGTCTTTTACAGTTTCCGCCACCTCTATTGTGAACGAACCTGCCTCATGGTCAACTGTGATGCCCTATACGGCCCGCGATAGTAGTTGGATTTTGCCATCATTCAGTGGCAAATCCCACTTGAGGGCCCAGCTTAGGACTGAAGCAATATACCTGGCCAGATCCTCTCGCCCCTCTGATACTACGACGTTTAAATCGTCCGCGAAGAAAAAGCTCAGTGACTGAAGCGTTACGGCTAGGTCATTTATAAATAGTAAGAATAAGATGGGTCCCAGTACCGATCCCTGAGGTACTCCACTAGTGATGTTCGTCAGGGTGGAATTGGAACTACCCACGCTTACGTAGAAAGATCACCCACTTAAGAAGTCATATATCCAGCTATATATCTGCCGCTCTAAGCCGACGGCTTTAAACTTGATCAACAGTAGGCGATGATTCACAGAATCAAACGCTTTACTGAAGTCTAGGTTGTATACTTTTACGCTTTTGCCTTCGTCTATTCTACAAGTTACTTCATCCAGGAAGCAGAAGAGATTGGTGAGACACAACCTGTGTTTTCAGAAACTCATGCTGAGCCGGGCACAGCATAGAATGGTCCACTAATTGCTTACAGATATGAGCCCTGATGATCCTTTCCAGCACCTTGCTAAAAACGTTAGTCAGGTTTACAGGAATGTAGTTGGCCTACTTCTGAACTGGACCCTCCTTTATGTATGGCTACCACGGAGCTGTTTTCCAGTCCAGTGGTAGAGTACATTATTCTAGGCTTAGCTTAAATAATTCACACAGTGGTCGCGCTAAGATACCCGCTAATGGTTTCACAATGGCAGAGTGCATACCGGCGCGACCAGCCGAATCGTTTATATTTAAGCTCTCTAGATGGCTCCTAACCATGTTCTCCGTTGGACGCAAATCGTCAATAACCACCGGAGCAGTTACTGTGTACCAGGTTGAGGAAGCACCGTTGTCCGTACGATGAACACTGCTAAAGTAGATACTTAGTGTGTCCGCCTTACTGTTATCGTCTGCAGTGACGGCTTGCCCCCCGGTCTTCAGCGGCCCCACGTCATCCCTGAGTGTTCCTTTAGATTGCACATACCCGTAATATTTCTTAGGATGATCCTTGGCGCACTTGACCAGCCTAAGCTTATAGTTGCGCTTCGCTGTTCGCACCATGTCGACCGCTGCGTTCCTGAGGGCTGTGTAACGCGTACAAGCTAAGCGGCTCCCAGAAATTTTGTACAAGCGCCAACTTCGGTTTCTACGCTTAAAGGCCTTGTCTATCGCCGCTCGCCACCAGATCGGTTTGGTTAGGTGTCGCCTGGGTTTCAACGGCATGACTTCATCCTGAGGGAAGGGGAAGCGATTTCTTACTTACTCCCCGTAAACCTTCAATGCTGGTTACTTCGACGTCCCAGGCTAGTTGGGCTGCTCTGCTACGGAGGAGATCTACGTTTTATTCGGTGGGAACTCATCTCCCATCCACCCCGCCCACCTGACGGGACACTGGTATTGCATCATAAGGTAATTCACAGTGGGTAGAAGTCAATTCCTCCGGCGGTCCCAGAAAGATTTATCCCATCTCACCCAACCCTACTGCTTTCAATTCGTACCCATCCTTCAAACCTGATTGGTGTAACCTTCGAAATTCTGCAGTTTTTGCACGCATTGCAGTAAGGTAGGACAGCACATACTACAATCTAAATACTGTTGTTTCACTCATGTGGCCGCGTTTCGCCTTTTTGCTCCAAATCATTACATAACCCATGCAACGGAAATCAATTTAATTATTCCTGACCTGATTCAGTAATGAAAAATCTTAACAGACAGAAAACACCTGACCAGGACAAACAGGATATGCATGTTCCGCCAGAAGCAAATGTGTGGCATTTTTGCTGAATAATCCGAAACCCCAACGCGATCGGTTTCACGCATTTGACGATCGAATTTTGGAAAAAAATCGCATACAGAACAGTAATGAGGTCAAGTAAAGTCATTGGTAGGTTAATGCACCCGGATGGGTGAATTTACGGCATTTACACCATATTTATGGACTCAAATTTTACAAAATCATTACATAATGAAACTGAAAGCAGTAGACTGTGTTCATCAAAGAAGCAAGCATTTGCACAATTCTGTGTCATTTTCCTCCTTGTCAACAAGCAGACGTGCTTGATATGGCAGAACAGAATCACGATAAGAAGAGGTACGCGCAAATGAAAGTGTAAATCTTGACCGTGTGGATGATGTAGACACGATTTTGTGTAATGGGTGGTAAGTGTCTGAGAGTATTTTGGCAGTGAAATTTTCACATACTTTTAAGTGATTGTCCATGATCGAATCAGCGAGTTTATCTCTGACAATGCCACTACATTTAGAGATGTGTTTGAGAGATCTCGCCAGTGAATAAAGTTTTTCTTCAACATACCGGGAAAAATCACTGGGGAGCAATACAACCAGTGGGGGAGTACACATGTATTCACAAACCTAACAATCAGCTTGTGGATGACAGAAAGTAATGTCAATCGGAGTGAGAAATATGAAAGCCTTGTAACTTTACAGAATGTGTTTCGAACATGCACTGACTATGATACATTGTGTGACAGTGTGACACCAAGATACTACTGTTGATTTCAGTACGGGTTCATGATTGTCAGAGAGGGTGGAGAACCTATTTGCTAGGGCTGAGTATGGTACATCGGCCAAGAGGGAAATACAACATCTTGACTATTCGAGGCATTCAATGAGAGGGCACGTTACAGAGACCAAGTCACAACGTTGTTGTTGCAACCTAAATGTTCTCGGCGATTTCAACATACACACATGCTTTCTGGTTGACAACACTCTGAAATGCCATCTCGTGAAATCCAAAGATCCGGTCGAATTGCAAGATCAAAACAACTGCATTAACAAAAACAGTTGTAAAGAATGCCCCGCAGAATACATTGGGCATACCAGCAGACAACTTAAGAGGAGAATAACCGAACACAAGAGAAAAGAGATACACCGGACTACGGACAAAGAAACTCTGGCAAAACAATACCTTTTCAGTTTGAGATGTCCGAATATCAATTTAAGATGTCACAATATGAATTGAAGATGTTCGAGTATCAATTTAAGATGTCATGTTGCGATGTGGATATTACCCTCAAGTCAAGTCAAGTCTAGGAATGGCTTTATACACCCTGAGAGGTGGATATTCAGCAACCGCATAACCATAGTGGGTCAACAAAAAGTGGAAAAAACAACAACCGCAGTATGCTACAGCAATTAAAGGACGTGAAAAAGGACGGCAACATCAAAATCATTGGCATACCCGGGTGTATAGAATGGATTTAGTTTCACATTTGGCCCAGGTTTCCTGCAACAAGTTCATGGTTTGTTAGAAATCTGGCGAGATAAGGGACAATAGACCGCATGTAAGCTTCAGTGCGTGTCTTTATCAGTTTGTGAGTGGAACGGGTGGATGAGTGAGAAAGACACTGACTAAGGGCGAAATAATGAGTATGGGAAATATCAGATAAAATCTTGTTGGAGAATGTTTTACAGGAGTTGAAGTGATGTGTAACCACATACTGTACCAGATGTTCCCGTGGTATGAGACTACAAACTGACAGAAATTTGAGGGATCGAGAAATGAGTTTGAGGTCCTTGTTAAAAGGATCAGGGAAGATAACAGGGGACCCATAAAGTCAGTGAGACAAAACGCACGCAAAAACAAAACGCCTTATGAGATGAGATGGTTTGGAATGGAAAGTGATTTAAGAAGTCAAACATAAAACGTGAGCTTCCTGACCTTCAGAAAAACGTCATTGACGTGATCAGACCAGGTGAGATTACGGTTGAAAATAACACCAAGGTATTGGACAGACGATTGTCGTTCCATCTGGTTACTGAAGATGGATAAAGGCGGGTTGGCGTTCGATAATTCATCATACTTTTGCCCGTTCAAAAAAGAAAACTATACGTCGTTACATGTGTTGGGGTTCACGCAGAGGTTCCTTTGTTGTGACCACTCAACTCGTTCAGACACGTTTCCTTGTAGAGTGGTTTGAAATGATGAGTTGGGAGAGGGCAGTCTGAATATTATATCGTCTGCATAGTTGACGAGAAGGGAAGAATAGTTCACAGTACCGAGTGAAAACGTCCGATGGGTCCCCTGTTTGCCCAGATCCATGTGTATGCTACCTGCATACTGCTCTATGGCTCGTTTCCTTGATGAAGTATGAAATATGATCATCGTGTGAGAGACCCCACCAAACCCTAAAGCACTCCTTTTTGTTTCGTATTCAACCAAGCCTCCGTCGGGTTGCACGCGGTGGCATAGCTCTGACTGAATTGTGAGTGGCATTGTCAAGCCTGTGTGCGCAAACAAGCAGACTGGCATGGTTAAAACAAAAGAATGAAGAATATACGCTGCACATACAAAAAAATAAGGGGAATTTAGCAAACTTAATGTTGAAAGGTCCTAATGACAAGATCGACATTAGTAAGGAACTGTACCAAATACCTTATTATAGTAGAGGTGTATGTTGTGGTGCGTGAAGCTATATGCAAATCCTTGGAGGGAGTGCTGGATGTAGGAAGTTTCTGACAAGCCCTAAAGTGCTGTGAAATGATTAAATGCACAAGATGCTCGCGAGGTGTGCCGCTGTATCTACACACGTGTTTGATGGATGTACGTATGAGTTTGAAGTCTTTCATAAAAAGACCCGGAAATATAACTGGGGATGCATAAAGCCAGTGGGGAAGGATACAAGAGAAGACATACCGTTTTATTCAGCGAGTTGGGGTAGATAGCATTTTCAAACCGATCATTTAAAAAGTGGGTTTTCTCACTTTGTCAAATGTCTCGACCACACGAGAAGACCAAGAAAGATTACGGAAAATGGTCACTCCAAGATATTTGTCAGAGCACGCTCTGAAAATTGGTTCTCCATTGATAATGACATGCTGGCAAGAGTTCGTTACATCAATGTATTGGCTACTCGCGAGCAAAGAAAATATACATTCATTCTAAGGTTGTATTGTGAAGATCAGTCGGTGAGCAGTGAAATATTCTGCCTAAGTTTGGGCTAAACGGAGGAATGGGAAGACTTCATGCCATCTAAAAAATCATCGGCAAACAATCATCAAAAGCAAGGATGGAAAAAATTTAGGTTGTGAACAGGAAGGGAGAAAGAATGACACCTTGAAGAACTGTTTTAGTGGAGGGTAAAAGTGAAGATTTGCGACCCTTTTATTTAATAAATTGTAGTCGATGGGTAGATAGATTGGTAATCCCTGACTGAATACCCTTCTCGGAAAGAGTCTTATTAAGTTTTGGCCTATCAACACGATTAAATGAGTCACTATAGACAAAGAAATACAACCGAACAGGTTTACATTGTTTGTGTCTAACGAGGAAGATACATAATGAATAAGGGATGCCAACGCATCAATGGTTGACCAGGAACGGCAATAGGAAAATTGATTCGGATAGGTGCATTCAGCTGGGACAATATCTTCTGTAGCAAAGTCTTTTCCAGGACTTTCAAACCCACTGACCTGCAAGCACTAGGGCAAAATTTAGACGTTCAATTTTTGGGTATTGGCGTGATAGAAACTACTCTCCAGCAGTCCAGAATGCAATGCTGAGTAAAGCACAAGTACAGCAGGTCGGTGAAAACTGTCCATGAATATGCTACTTGCAATGGTTGAGATCGGTGAACCCATTGACACTGCATCAGTTTGTTGGTACAAACCTCCGTCCTACGTGAGCAGATTAGATTTTAGATACGTGGAATTCGCCCAGATGACGTTTCCTACACCAAGTGTGGTTCTATGGCGAAAATAATTGTCGTTTGATAGGCGTCTTTTAAGGAGTGCAAGGAATTCTTGGATGGGTATATGAATAAAAAGGGGAAAAAACATCGTCACGTGCAAGAGATTCAGACGAATCTATTTTATTCAGCATAAGTTTATAAATAAAATGGTTCGAGGTTTCGATGTGATGGTTTTCAGATTTGTGAAGTTGCCTTAAGATGCTTGTTAGGCGTTTTCAAAGAGCATAAATAGTTCGGAGGGTTTGTGTATTCAATTGGTGGTCGCGAAGAATAATCTGATTCATAAACTGCATCGTAAATTTACTCGAAAAACGCTTTCCAACCGGGTAGAATCGCCGTCAACCAAAAATA